GGCTGAATTGCACAAAACGCATGAACGCACCGGCTAGTCTGGTGCGCGTTGTTATTTATTTTTTTTGTTTACGGTGCGAGAGGATAGTTATTAAGGCATAATCTCTATTGGCCGACACCAGTGCGAGTTACATCATTTTTTATTTAATATAGCTCTGAACTGTAGTGAACAGATTTTCCGCTCAAGTTTTTTCTTTTGCCAGAAATTTCGATTTTTGTTAATTTGAGAAGGGATTCTGAGTGGATTCCTCAGTTCAGTTTTGTTTTTGCACTAGTACACATTCCAATATATGTTATGCAGGATTTATTTTCAGGCTCAGGATGGATTTGGACGAAGCAGATATATTAGAAATTCCATCATGGTCAAGAAAAGGTCATCCAGTTGCCCGTTGGATCGACTATATACCAAAATCTTATACCGGTGAAGTCCGTGATATCACGGATAATGGATTTTGGACGCTGTCTAGCTGTAAATCTGGTTACTTTTCATCCAGAATTTTGCATAGAAGTTTTGTACACTGACTGAGCCGTATCAGAGGGGGTTTTTTTCAACTCGGCAACCAAGCAAGGTCCGGCGTCAAAATTTTGCGAGTGGATTCCCCGGCCAAGTGCCACCCCAGGACCAACCCTCACGCGCGTTTAAGCTTCGCGTGCGAACGGAGAAAGTTTTGGCGAGAAAACCACTAACTTAGAAACCAGAAAAGCTAGAAAGCTGCGATTTTGCAGTCATGTTCCACATGGAACTCAAAGATTTCAAATTTCATGTTCCTCACGTACGGCCCTCGAAAGTTGCGTGTTTCTCACGTACGACCCTCGAAAATTTTGGGCGAAAAAATAGCTAACTCGAGCATCAGGAAAGAAAGAATGCTGAAACTTTGAGGGGATGTTCCGTGACCAAGTACCATGTAGTTGCACAATTAATTTCCTGAACTTCGAGGACCAATGTACCATAAATTCTAGCTACTAGGACTCCTAACAATCTTACAAGGGCACGAAATACTGCAAAAACGCATGATCGCATGGGTTCACCGGTACGCGTCGCCAATGATTTTAAAGTTCTGCTTAAGAATTATTTTGCTTCTGAGACCTCACTAGCTTGGGCTTGGGATTATGCTCTTTTTTAACTCTTTTGCCGAAAATATCGTCAGAATTTTTTTGGTTTTTGTAGTCGGTCCTGAACAACTTTAATCCACATTTAGTTATAGAAGGCTATGGCATTCATCAGCTGCTGGATGAAGATACTGACCAGTACTGGCAGTCGGATGGCCCGCAACCTCACGTGATCACCGTTGAATTCCCAAAAAAAGAAGACATTCTCTTCGTGCTTTTATACTTGGACTATAAAACGGATGAATCGTATACTCCGAGCAAGTAATTTTTTTTTTATTTTGCCCTAATTTGAAAAAATGTACTATTTTTTGAAGGCACATATTATTTGATTTTTTTGATATTGTTAGCCAGTTCTTAAAATTCTTATCACTGCTTTTTTTCCATGGCCAATACGATCCGCCACCTTGATTCCCAGGTATGCGTGGTTCTCACGTACGACCCCGTCAAAGTTTTTGGTGAAAAAGTGGCTAAATCGGGAATCAGAAAAGCTAGGAGGCTGAAATTTTAAATCGAAAACGGCATGTGTGCTTGCTTTTATCA